ACACCTGCCAGCTAGACATGTACACCTTACAATCATTCCATACACCAAATAAAGTAGACCTATTGCATACAGTATAAGAAAAACAGTCCAAAACACAAAAACTTAACTATAACCACTTAACCATGAAAATGAGGTCAAGGTAAGGTGACACCTGCCAGTTGGACATGTACACCTTACAGTCTTTCCATACATCGAATATGCTAGACCGATTGCTTCTAGTATCCGAGATATGGACTTGGCCACCAAAACTTAACCTTGTTCACTGATCCATGAAACGAGGTCGAGGTCAAGTGAAAACTATCTGACGGGCATGAGGACCTTGCAAGGTACGCACATACCAAATATAGTTATCCTATTACTCATAATAAGAGAGAAATTAACATTACAAAAAATCTTTTTTATTCAAGTAGTCACTGAACCATGAAAATGAGGTCAAGGACAATGGACATGTGACAGATGGAAACTTCATAACATAAGGCATCTATATACAAAGTATGAAGTATCCAGGTCTTCCACCTTCTAAAATATAAAGCTTTTAAGAAGTTAGTTAACGCCGCCGCCGCTGCCGCCGGATCACTATCCCTATGTCGAGCTGTCTGCGACAAAAGTCGCAGGCTCGACAAAAAACTATCAAAGTAGATTGCTCTTCTATCTTTGGTTTTAATGTTTAAAGGTAAACATCTCTGTGTTTTCTCAAAAAAGGAATTACAGAGATGAAGTTTAATACTTATTTTAACTTAATGTTAACTTTACTTTTATAAATATGCATTATTTTTTTTTAATTTCTATCAAAATATTTACTGAGAATTTCTTTCCTGATTATATAATAAACATAGAGCTTAATTTATGACCAAGTGTCAAAATGGTGAAAAGATTGATTGTAAAACAAACAAATTAGTGTTTTACGACAATGTTAAATTATCTGTTATTTAATCATGTGATCTTTTGACAACAATGGAACACTTTTACAGTAATGCTTTTCAAATATCAATCTTTTTATGCAGGTAAATGTATAAAGTAAAATGTAATAATTAAAAAAAAACTCTATCTGATACACAGTGTTGTGTTATTCATTTAGAATTGTAATTTGGTCATTCTAGTATTTATATCACTTTATTTTTTTTCTTTTCAGGTTCTACCTGGGGCAAGGCTTAATCACCGAATTCCCTCTAGTGATTTATGTAAAGTGTGAAAAATAAGTAAAATAGAAAATCAATATTTAAATGATTATGTTCTTAGTTAATCGAAAATCTTAAATTCTGCTTTAATTTAATCTCCGACAATCTGTTAAAGATATATAGTATGTGAAAAAAGTAATGCCATGTAATGCAATGTAATGCATGAAATTACACAACTTTTTGCTAAAGTAATGCATTAAATTACAATTACATGTAATGCAAAAATTGCTGCATTACACATTACATGCAATTACTTGGAAAAATGTAATGCATTACCATGCATTACAATTACAAATTTGCATTACCCCATGCCTGGTACTGGACGATGTTATCTGCAATTGCAATGAACAATGGAATATAATGATACTGAACGATATTATCTACAATTGCAATGAATAGTGGTATGGTACTGAACGATTTTGTCTGGAATTCAACGAAGGATGTATGATCTTGAACAATGTTATCTGCAATTGCAATAGACAATGGTATAGTACTAGACTATGATATATGCAATTACAATGCGCAGTGGTATGGTACTGGACGATGTAATCTAGAATTGCAATGAACAATTGTATATTACTGGACAATGTAATTTGGAATTGCAATGAACAATGGTATGGCATTGGATGATGTTATCTAGAATCGCAATGAACAATGGTATGGTACTGGACGATGCTATCTGGAATTGCAATAAACAATGGTATATTATTGAACGATATTATTTACCATTACCGGTTGTTTCACACGTTCTTCTGTTAACCTGAGACAGATTTATTTAGGATGAAGGACACTTCTATGATGGTTGCTACCATGTATTGACTACTTAAACTACATTGCAAAAAGTCACATATCTTCTAGGCTTCTAGAACATTTTCTACAACTGATATTTCTGTTATAATTTTTATATAGTTTCTTGACTATTTGTAGTTTAAAAACATATATCTTAATTGGCAATAAAGCATTATGTAAATAATAGAATTCATTATTTTTGGAGTGTAAACACTCTTTGAATATGTTCAGAAAAATCTTCTACTTTTGAAGGTCCTTTCAATTTGGTTGACATTGATGGCTTTTCGGCTTTCTACACTATACTTCCACAATGTCTTATCAAAAAGATTTTTGTTTTATTTCAATAAAATGGTCCTTTGATCAAATAAATCTCCTTTGCTGCAACTCATAAAATTACTTCTTCTGTAATGCAAAAGGTAGTTCAAAAGATATCAGACTTGTTCCTGTATGTTGTTGAATCACAGTGTATCGCCAAAATTAGTAAAGAGCCGTCTAAATTCAATTAAATAATAAATATAAATGACACCTATCGTACTCTTGGTAATATGCTGACTTTAAATAATCAAGAACTCTGTGACTAAGACAGTGTGGAATTAATATTCTAGTCTTGAAACATTTTAGCTTATTAGAAGAAATAGGCTTTGAAATAGCTTTAGGTAGCTGCGAATACTTTAGATCGATAACTTATGGCTAGTTTTGTTGTTGTTAGATTTCTGTCCTTCGTTCAATCCTTTTGAACTTATCTTTACAGTTTAATCTTATATTATGCTGTTACATTACTGTCCTAGAATTGGAGAGGATAAGCGCTCACAAACATTGTTAACTCAGGCACATTTTTTGTGCGTGCCGAAAGATATAGGAGCCTGTTATTCAGTGGTTGATATCTGTCATATTATTCCGTTTGTTGTTTTAATTATTACTCAGGCTATTGGGCTTCTCTGTTGCATTGTTTTACATTTGATCATATCTAGGCTTCCAGAAGTTACTATACGGTATGGGTTAAGCTCATTGTTGAAGGCCGTACAGTGGCATATAGTTGTTTACACTTTCGTCCGTTATCGCAAATGTTAACTTATCAATTACACCTGAATATCAGTTAGTGTTCCGTTTTAAGTTCAGTGAAAATTGAATTTCAAGTTTTGAATATCGATTAACTAAAGTGACCTCTCATTTGAGTCATTTCGGTTCGGTATTTTCCTCTGAAATTACTTTTTATATCTCCTTTTTACAAATCTGAATCAACATCTTTGTTAGAAATGTAATTAAAGATTTGTTCATTTATTCATATGAGGTTGACTTCATACAGGAGCTTCTTCAGAAAGAAAGAAAAGAAGCTAGCATTACCCTTTAACTTCACGTCCCACTATAAAGATGATGTCCTGTCACTGAATAATTCAAAGTTTGGTGATTAGGTTAAATGCATCGATCCCATTGAACTTGAAATAATGGATACAACAGATACAGTTAAGTCTACATGGTATTTCGACTTGCACCTAGAAGTTGACAATGAGAGACGGTTGAGAACAAAACTTTACGATATGCTATTCAAAAACTTGCATTTCCTATCGTGAGTTCATTGATGGAGGAGGATTGCGGCTTACAAGGAAGCTATTAAAGCAATAGTTCCAAGTGGTGAAGTTGAAATCATCCATTCAAACATTTTCGGACACCATCACTAGTTGGTTGACCGATAAGGAATGTCTGGTTCACTGATGACTACGGATATGTTCCAATTGTCATAACGACAATCCCGTCCTCTTTTCCTTGAATGGGAACAACCGAATTAGAACTATAACCAAATGTGTATTTAAATGAGCAACACGACGGGTGCCACATATGAAGCAGGATTTGCATACCCTTCCGAAGCACCTGAGATAATCACCGTTTTTTATAAGGGTTCTTGTTGCTGAGTTTTTGCCATGGCATGTCAGTTTGTTTTTTCGACTCATGAGTTTAAATATCCCTTTACAATGTATATAGAAAAATTTGCACTAGATAACACATTTCTGAAATAAATTTGTTATCGTTAGTTGTCTGTGTAGTGTTTTTTAACTGTTATTTTGTCTTTTCGTCGTTTTCCTTTTGGCCATGGTACGGGATGTTTTCAACGTTTTTGATTGCTCCCTTTGTGTGCTCTTCCCTGCCTGCTTCGTGCGAAATTGTATTGTTCGAATCTTTTTTATTATAATGGTCAAATGATAAAGGTTAATATATATTTAAAAACGGCTTGAAATGTTTTACAAGAGTACAAGTCAAGAAATCGTCCTTATTACGTACACGTCCATCTATTTACCTTTTTAACACAGGGGATCTCAACACCGGATTTTGGAAAAGACATGTCGCTGACATTTCAAAAACAACCCCATTCATATACTAGTATTGAAGTCTTATGAAAATCCCGACCCGTAAATATATTTCATGCCAAAATCAAAAGCCAATCATAAATTTCTCAGTTGTCACATTTTCAATTTTTCGAAATGATGAAAATTACTGACCAATTGACATTTTACCATGGTGACATTGCAACCCATTGCTATATTAACGTATCAAAAAATGACCCATTTTAGCGGCACGTCTGTGTATACTTTCTTATAGAAAAAGTACCCACCCGTTTTTATTTTATATCAAATGGCAAATTACACATGCATATTCCGGACAAGCATAATGATGCATGCCATCTTATACAATGTAATCAAATCAGTTTAAAACGAGTCATAATATGTTCATCTCGTAAACATTTGAAAATATTTTACATTGTAAATTCTGCAGTGAAGGTGATGAAGATAATAAAAACATGATAAGGTTATGGCGGTCATTGTTCCTAACCGATCAAAAACGAAATGGAGAATTTTTTAGCAAGAATATTGTGTATTTTATTCTCTCCAACCGTTTTAGATCTTAGTGGTTTCAGAAATCAGGCTAAAACAGGTGACATATTTCTACAATGTGATACCAATAGCTCGCAACGGCAATGCTCATAAGCCGATAAAGATATGTAGTATCATAACAATGGATATATAGCTATAAATCTCTTTATTTATGCATAATGTTGATTGCGTGGGATTTTGCATCCTCTACAGCATAGGCCATCATCCTCCTTTGGTTCACATCCATTGCAGGGCAAATCAGTATACGGATTTTTGATTTGACAATCCTTTGGGACGTTACAACCTATAGCTGTTATGAAAATTGAAATATTTTTATGGCAAAAAACATTATAAAAAAGTGCTACAAGCAGACAAAAAGGAGTTAAAACGTCTAACCTGACGCAAATTAGGACATTAGGGTAGTCATATCCTGATATTCAAACATCATCATTAAAATCAAACTAAATATTATTTTTATATACATATGCACATTCATGGCTGTACAATCAATCGATACCTGAATCTTAGCATTGCACAATGTCATGTTTTTCTCTGACTATTAATGACGTCTGTACACTAAATTCATTGGATGTTGGATGTGTACTGATTGATATTTAAGTCTTAGATGCATGATTTTTTTTATTAATTGTCATTGGCTTTGAACTAAAGGTCAGTAACTGCGAGTACTCCCAGATCTGTACTTAGTGTCTGTTTGTTGTGGGAATGTATAAGTACCCTGCCACGTCCACTCTGTGTTTTTGTTTGATGTATTTCTGCTTTGTATCGATCCGATGAGTTAAGCCCTTTTCAACTGATTTTTATAGTTTTTTTCTGATGTTGTACTGTTACACCATGGTCCCAGGTTAGGGGAGGGATGGGGCGCCTGCAAACATGTTTAAACCCGCCACAATCTGTATGTGCCTGTCCCAAGTAAGGAACCTGTAACAGTGGTTTTCATTTGATGCTGTATATCATATTTGTTCTTCGTTCATTGTCTTGTACATAAATCAGGCTGTTAGTTTTCTCGTTTGAATTGTTTTACATTTGTCATTTCGGTGCCTTTTAAAGCTGACTATGCGATATGGGTTTTACTCATTGTTGAAGGCTGTACAGTGACCTATAGTTGTTAAGTTCTGTGTCATTTGGTCTCTTGTGGACAGTTGTCTCATTTGCAATCATAACACATCTTCTTTTTTTTATATGCAGTACCTTATCACATCAAGCAGAATAATGAACAAGTAAATGTACAAAATGTCCGGGACTAATCCAGGGTCCGAGGTAAGGTTAATGTTGAAATTGCTTTTATGTACAGCCCAGCTCATCGAGTTGCCATTTAAATGGTTTCAAGCCGCAAATATTGTGTGCGCGATCACTTGGGTGTCGTATTATCTTCACACTCTGAATCCATCACTGAGAGTGTTATACAAAGACCAATGGTAATGTCATGTGTAGTAAATCGGGCAATATCTGTTATATGAGTGAATATCATGATCTTTCAATGGGCTTTTCATATTTAATGATAAATAATACACGCATGAGAGTAAAATAACGTCTGTGTTTTCCGTACATTAATTACATGCTTAAAAATTTGTAAAATTTGCATAAATCCAAACCTGTGTAATGCAAATTGAGGCATTAGCTTAGTCATATAAGAGAGTGGCGAAAGATACCAACGGGACATTCATATCCTGATATTTACATAATTATACCACAATGCACTACCTTAACACATCAAGACGAATAACGAACAAGTAAATATGCAAAGTGTCATGGGCTGACCAAGTGTCCAATGTAAGGGAGTCGTAAGTGTCAATTAACGACATATTCTAGGTATTGTCGGAATCCTTCATCAAAGTTATTTCCAGCTTGATGATTAATCCAAGGTTACTTAAAGTTTTGCACTAAATTCAAGAAGTTTGATTGATTGATTCTTGATTTTTGGTTGCTTAACGTCCAGTGAAAAATATTTCATGCATGTTCAGGACGAGAACAAATTAACAATAAATATGTAGGTCATGTGATAGAGGCCGTTCGGGATGAAGGTCGTGGAAATTTGGACTGCCACAGGAAAATTCGGGTATATTCGATAGGGACAGAAATTTAGCCTTGCAACAAGCTACATACGGACCCCTCAAATAGTTGTTGCAAGGGTTTTTAATGCGCAATGAGCGTGGCACTCTCCTTTACACGAGGCATCGGATTTGATGTCCCCATTCTAAACGGACAAGGCTGTTTACTTGTACATCCCGCACAGCCAAACGGACGCCCCACTTTGGCAAGGGTTCTACTGCTGGTTGGAGGAAGACCAATGGTGACCATATTCCTATTCCCCAGTCACCCTTGGGGATGAAGAAGTTTGAAACCTCAGTGCAAATATAAGAGACACAATTCACAAATATCAATACTGATATTTAACAGTCTAATGTCTAGTGAACATTTGAAAGATGTTTATCATAATTCAAGGGGCAACAAATCGCATTATCATACCTTCTCCTTATATTGAAATTATCTGTCACTCAGTGAACAATGATATTCAAGAACTATGAATTATTCATCTTCTATGCCAATTTGACATTGTGAAATTACATTAAAACGTTTTACAACAATTAAAACTATTGCGTACTAAAATACAAATAGCTTTATACACACAATTAAAAGGTACATAAAACATTCTTTGTATCTGCCAATAGAATACTGTTACAGACCAGTTCTGCACAATAAGACGTACAAGATGTGAAAATCTGTTTGATATCATATTCGAATATTTGTAAAACGAAACGAAATATACAGCTTCTATTATATCTTTTTAAAGTGTACAGGGCGAAATGTTTACCTCCAATCAAACAATTCATTCGAAAGAACCCACATAACTTATCTTCTGTGTTCCTCTTTAAACTCATCGAGTGTGTATGGTGAATTGGACGACAAGGATGAAATGTGTAACAGGAAGTGGTAGGTTATATAGAAAAAAATAGAAAACATGGGAAGTTTGTTAACCTTGATCCAAAATTAGTATACCGATGTTTTCATCTTGTAAATCGATAAGGAAGAGAAAAATCAAGGTAACAAACAGAAACAGAGGGAATCGTACGAACTCGAAAAGTAGCGAGACCGGATCCGTCGACAGTTATTATAGAAACAAGATGTGATACGATTGCCAATGAGACAACTATCCACAAGAGTTATATGAAGTTATGCATGCATCACCCGCCATGGGAATTCACTGTCAGTAAAAATGTCACAATCGGGAATATGAAACACAGCATACGAAATTAAAGCTTATTTACACGTTGATTCTGTAATCTTAAATAACAGACCTTGAAAATTAATTGTTTTTTTTTTCAATTTAAAGTGTTCATCGGATAAACTCGAAAGTACTTACGTGGGACTTTTACTGCAAACAAATCAAACAAAATGTTACTAGTATTTACAATTTATATAAGATTTATCTTTTCCACAAGTATTCATTTAAAGATACGTTCTTGCAACCTTCTTCTTTCTCTACACTATGAAAATATCTATTTAATGTCTTAACTGAAGAATATGTTATAAACATTACAGTAATTAAGTAATATTCCTTCAAAAACAAACGGCGGATAATTAAAATCATATTCAAATATAAGTGTTCGTCTTCAATTTGCCTTGTGGATAACGGTTCAGTTCTATTATAACTAAATGCCTAATCATGATTGAGGACTCATCAGAGTAGTTTAACAGTAGTAACACGGCGGATGTCACTAGTGGAACAGAAACTGCTAACTCCCGTGAAGCACCTGAGTTCACTTTCGGTTGTTGTTGGGTTCGTGTTGCTATTTTTCTGTTTGGTGTTTAGGTTAAAAATTGCTGTTTGTCTTTACTAGTTTTTCGTTTTGGTGATGATATTGTCTGCTTAAATGTGAACTACGGTTTTTCCCTTGTATCTTCTCGATGTTTGCTTCACTTAGATTAAAACTAGATAAAATGAATTTATTTCCTATCTTATTTTTACAGATACATTGATACATGTATGACATACCTCTTAGTGCTCTTTGTTCTACAATAATGTACTGAACATCACAATCATATTTAAATATTTGCAAGTTATATGTATGATTATATATACAGATCTATCAAAATATTCTAGTCAGTGTATAATAATCAATTCAAAAAAGTTAAATTCAAATCTTATGATTTGGAAAAATTATATCGTTTACTTTAATTAAGATCGTTGCACTAGCAATTTTATGTATTTTATGTATTTTTTTTATTTCTATTTCTTTTGTTTATTTTGTGTTTGTTTGTAAATTCCTTTCTTGTGAATAAATTACGCATATAATAGATTGAAATTAGATCATACATGATTTGTTTTAGATTTGAAGAAAATACCATCCGGTTTGAAATTGAAAATAATGATAATAACACAAGAGACTGTAAGGGCATTTTGTATACTCACTTGAAACGCCTTGGGCTGAAAAAAAGAGATGTCAGATAATACTATAAATTTATTTTTTTTGTTCCACCTGTGTAACCTAACTAAACACTTAAACAATTCATTCTGGTGGCGTCTACCGACTCCGATGTTCGCCAAAGCCGACGCTGACGCAAGAAATAACACACCAACGTCTCGTTTTCACAACTAGCGCCGCAGGCTGGAAACAAATCGGTGATATTATTTGAAGAAATCAAATAAAACAACATTATAATGCGGTGACCTATAATTGTTTACATCATTAAGAGTGTTTTGTATCTACTTTATATTCTCCTGTTTCTAAGTGATTGACTTTACCAGCTATAATCGAAATAGGAAATCATAAACATCTGCAGATAAAAGACATACAAGCAGTTGTTTGCAGATAAAAGACATACAAGCAGTTGTTTGCAGATAAAAGACATACAAGCAGTTGTTTGCAGATAAAAGACATACAAGCAGTTGTTTGCAGATAAAAGACATACAAGCAGTTGTTTGCAGATAAAAGACATACAAGCAGTTGTTTGCAGGAATTTTGACCAAAACAATAAACAGAAGTTTAGCGTCATAAATGTTACTTGATTATTGTCGATTTTTCATTTCTCAGTTTGTCTCTCGTCCATCGTGTTGAGCCAACATATCTCAACTGATATGTTGACCACAATACTTACCAAGTGACCATTGTTAAGTTTTTTTTTCTTGAAAGTACACCTTATAACCAAAACATGGACAACTTTCTACAAAACAACCCTAACCTACTTTCAAACAAACTAAATTGACCAGCGCTCTATATTTTTTTCTACTAACAGACTCTCCTAAAACATTCTGGTTGTTGTATAAACCAGTCTGTATGGTTTTCTCTTTTGAATTCATTAACGATGTCTTTCATTGCAGTACTATATGCGTTTAGCCAATGGTGAAGGTCGTGCGGTGACATATAATTGTTTACATCATTAAATATTGTTCTATGGTCTTTGTTGCTTGTTGTCTCATTGGCAATTGTACCACATCTCTTTATTACCTGCGTAACCATCAGCGAAAGCAGGGCTAATAATCGCTCACTCCGTCCGCCGTTCCGCCATTCCGTCCGTCCGAAAGACCTTGGGTAAAAAAATATCGCCAATCATTCCTGGCTTTTATGAAAGGAAAAGATTCTATATTTGGTCTGCAGCTTCATAATGTTTGGTTGTAGCGTGTTAACAATTTTAAGATCTGCCGTGTATCTGCCACTTTTTTGGCTGATAGATTCAAGTTTCAATCAGTTATACACAGCGTCGTATGTCAAGACCCGGTATTTGTCTTGTTTTTATATATCAATCGCTAAAGACTGAGCAATACAAACTCAACAAAAAAATTTAAGTGTGAAATGAGGTGCTCCGACAGAAAAGATAGATCCTGCTCCACTCTTGACTCTGACGTGTTTACTTAACGCGAATAAAACTCACATGTTGTGTATCATCAGTGACACATATATTCAATAACAGTCAACCTATTATGACATAGTGCAACAAAAAAAAATTGGATAGGTCAGGACTGGAAGTTAAAATATTCTCTGGTTTATTTCTCACCAGACACTGCTGGTGAAATTTTAGATATTAGTAAAGTTTTGAAACATAAAAAAAACCAGTTTAGTTCGTATCGTTTGGTTTCCATAACTTTGCTACTCGAGCTTACATCGTAAAGTTTATTTCTGAAACAACACACTAACCTGCAAACAGAGCTAATGATCAGCGATCTGGAGAACCACATACTTACCAGCAAACAGAGCTAATGATCAGCGATCTGGAGCACCACATACTTACCTGCAAACAGAGCTAATAAACAGTGGTCTGGGGCTACACACACTTACCTGCAAACAGAGCTAATGAACAGCAGTCTGAAGAACCACACACTTACCTGCAAACAGAGCTAGTGATCACCGATCTTGAGCACCACACACTTACCTGCAAACAGAGCTAATGAACAGTGGTCTGGAGCAACACATACTTACCTGCAAACAGAGCTAATGAACAGTAGACTGGAGCACCGCACACTTACCTGCAAACAGAGCTAATGACCAGCGGTCTGGTGAAACAATCACTTACCTGCAAACAGAGCTAATGATCAGCGATCTGGAGCACCACATACTTACCTGCAAACAGACCTAATGAACAGTGATCTGGAGCACCACATACTTACCTGCAAACAGAGTTAATGAACTGCGATCTGCAGCACCACACACTTCCCTGCAAACAGAGATTATGATCAGCTTTCTGGAGCAACACATACTTAACTGCAAACAGAGCAAATAAACAGTGATCTGGAGCACCACACACTTATCTGCAAACAAAGCTATTGATCAGCGATCTGGAGCACCACACACTTATCTGTAAACAAAGCTAATGAACAGCGATCTGCTGCAAACAGAGCTAATGAACAGTGGTCTGGAGAACCACACACTTACCTGTAAACAGAACTAATGAACAGTGGTTTGGAGCACCACATACTAACCTACAAAGAGCTAATGATCAGCGATCTAGAGCACCACATACTTACCTGCAAACAGAGGTAATGGTCTGCGATCTGGAACACCACATACTTACCTCCAAATAGAGCTAAAGAACAGTAGTCTGGAGCACCACATACTTATCTGCAAACAGAGCTAATGAACATCGATCTGGAGCACCACACACTTACCTGCAAACAGAGCTATTGATCAGCGATCTGGAGCACCACACACTTACCTGCAAACAGAGCTAATGAACAGCGATCTGCTGCAAACAGAGCTAATGAACAGTGGTCTAGAAAACCACACACTTACCTGCAAACAGAGCTAATGACAAGCGTTCTGGAGAACCACAAACTTACCTCCAAACAGAGCTAATGAACAGTGGTCTGGAGCACTACATACTTACCTGCAACCAGAGTTAATGATCAGCGATCGAGAGCACCACATACTTACCTGCAAATAGAGCTAATGATCAGCGATCTGGAGCACCACACACTTACCCGCAAACAGAGCTAATGAACAGCGGTCTAAAAAAAGAGCTATAGAACAGTGGTCTGAAGCACCACACACTTACCTGCAAACAGAGCTAATGAACAGTGGTCTGGAGCACCACATACTTACCTGCAAACAGAGCTAATGAACAGTGGTCTGGAGCACCACATACTTACCTACAAACAGAGCTAATGATCAGCAATCTGGAGCACCACATATATACCTGCAAACAGAGCTAATGAACAGCGATCTGGAGCACCACATACTTACCTGCAAACAGAGCTAATGAACAGCGATCTGGAGCACCTCATACTTACCTGCAAACAGAGCTACTGATCAATGGTCTGAAGCACCACACACTTACCTGCAAACAGAGCTAATTAACAGTGGTCTGGAGCACCACATACTTACCTGCAAACAGAGCTAATGATCAGCGATCTTAAGTACCACACACTTACCTGCAAACAGAGCTAATGAACAGTGGTCTTGAGCAACACATACTTACCTGCAAACAGAGCGAATGAATAGTAGACTGGAGCACCGCACACATACTTGCAAACAAAGCTGATGAACATTTGTTTGGAGCACAACACACTTACCCGCAAACAGAGCTAATGAACAGCGGTCTGGAGAACCACATACTTACCTGCAAACAGAGCTAATGATCAGCGATCTGGAGCACCAAATACTGACCTGCAAACAGAGCATATGAACAGTGGTTTGGAGAACCACACACTTACCTGCAAACAGAGCTAATGAACAGCGATCTGCTGCAAACAGAGCTAATGAACAGTGGTCTAGAAAACCACACACTTACCTGCAAACAGAGGTAATGACCAGCGTTCTGGTGAACCACACACTTACCTCCAAAAAAAGCTAATGAACAGTGGTCTGGAGCACTACATACTTACCTGCAAACACAGCTAATGATCAGCGATCTAGAGCACCACATGCTTACCTGCAAATAGAGCTAATGATCAGCGATCTGGAACACCACATAATTACCTGCAAACAGAGCTTATGAACAGTGGTCTGAAGCACCACACACTTACCCGCAAACAGAGCTAATGGACAGCGGTCTAAAAAAAGAGCTATAGAACAATGGTCTGAAGCACCACACACTTACCTGCAAACAGAGCTAAGGAACAGTGGTCTGGAGAACCACATACTTACCTGCAAACAGAGCTAATGAACAGTGGTCTGGAGCACCACATACTTACCTGCAAACAGAGCTAATGATCAGCGATCTGGAGCACCAAATAAATACCTGCAAACAGAGCTAATGAATAGCGATCTGGAGCACCACATACTTACCTGCAAACAGAGCTAATGAACAGTGGTCTGGAGCACCACATACTTACCTGCAAACAGAGCTAATGATCACCAATCTAGAGCACCACATACTTACCTGCAAACAGAGCTAATGAACAGTGGTCTGAAGCACCACACACTTACCTGCAAACAGAGCTAATTAACAGTGGTCTGGAGAAACACATACTTACCTGCAAACAGAGCTAATGATCAGCGATCTTGAGTACCACACACTTACCTGCAAACAGAGCTAATAAACAGTGGTCTGGAGCAACACAAACTTTCCTGCAAACAGAGCGAATGAACAGTAGACTGGAGCACCGCACACTTACCTGCAAACAGAGCTGATGAACAGTGGTCTGGAGCACCACACACTTAACCGCAAACAGAGCTAATTAACAGTGGTCTGGAGCACCACATACTTACCTGCAAACAGAGCTAATGATCAGCGATCTTGAGAACCACACACTTACCTGCAAACAGAGCTAATGATCAGCAATCTGGAGCAAGACATACTTACCTGCAAACAGAGCGAATGAACAGTAGACTGGAGCACCGCACACTTACCTGCAAACAAAGCTGATGAACAGTGGTCTGGAGCACCACACACTTACCCACAAACAGAGCTAATGATCAGCGGTCTGGATAACCCACACTTACCTGCAAACAGAGCTAATGATCAGCGATCTGGAGCACCACATACTGACCT